AGTTATTAACTCATTTGTAGGTTTTCGATTGAACCTTATTATTCCCAGATCGTGTGTTCTTGGAAGCTACAATATTTGTTTAATACAGATTGATCTTTATGGTGTTTTTTTTATGTGTGCTTATAAATGAAACTAATTGAAATCTATGTATTCTAAATTCACATTTTGGTGACAATGTATACGATAATTGCATGGCCTTCTTTGTACTCTTCCGTTTTTTAATCGCCTCTGCCTCTTTTGTTCCTGCAGCTCTTCAGATGGATCATCTGGTGTTTGTGGTAGTCTGATGCTGCTAAATCATCTGATTCTAAAAGGTACACCTAATCCTTCTAATACCTTTCTAATAATCAAAAAGCCAGTGATTTACAAATTTAGTAATGAAAGTATAATTTTTTCTACTTTTAGCTGAATTCTTATATTTAATCTATGCTTGTTATGCTTTTAGTTGAATCCTTCTAATAAATTTATGCTTGTGTGTTCTGTAAACATGAAGTGGCTGTTTATGTATAGACAACTAAAGAGGTGTAACTTTTTTTTTCCAGTTCTTTGGTTATGTTTTCTTATGCTTTTTCTTGAATTACTTTTTGTACATATATGTTTGTAACTGTTATTTCTTTGATTCATTACCTGAATGTTTCATACACCTTACATCATTTGTACTGAGCATTCTAATGTAAAAAGTAATCGAAGGCATCATGAGCAATTCATTGTTGGTAACAGAACAATGTATAAAAATAATATCACCACTTTCTTTTAACATGAAGTACTGCTATTTTTCGTAGAATGATGCATTTCTAATGAAAGTCTTCTCGTTTTCCAATTCAAAGAGTTGTGAAAGGATGCATTAAATAAGTTTCCACCGTACTCTTCCAAGTCTCTTATCTTCATCATATACCTAGAGGAATCAAACAACTTGCATTCATTCTTATAATATCTCATCATGTCTGAGTCTAAATGAACTGATATGTAGTACTTATGAGTGAAAATATCAAATCAGGAGAATTGAACTATTTGAGGAGATCTTCAAGTTGTATAATTGCAATTAAACCCTTTTGACCTATTTAATCCCTTTTATAACAATATGGGTGACTTTTCTTGCCATTCTCCTTAGTATATGGTCTCTCCTAATCTAATCAATGTCTTTCTAGACCATAATTTAATACGGCAGAATTTAGTGGATGTAATGATATTTGAAACAAACATGCATTTAATAATTACTGAATTACTGCACAATGGAACCAATAAATGTTAATAAGCTCAACAAGGTTTGTAATAAGATCAATGAAAGAGATCACGATTTCGAATTGTGATCACTTGGTTATGATATAGCTGTTTGATATTTATTTATCTTAATGCTTGCAGTTTCATTTTTCTATTCAACTTCTTTTTTGTGTTTGCTACCAAAGGAAAACTTTCTGACCCTGTTGTGTTTTATTGTTCAGGCATTGGATTATGGTTATGGGTGAATGTTTATGCTATAGGGATTGGGTTCAGAAGATGAGAAGCCTGTGCAGATGTGGTGATTATGGTGAAGGCGGTCAGTATGGGCAAGCGAATATGTGTTTTGTTTGTATATTCTGTGGTAATGAAGAGGTTGTGATCATGTTTCTTTTTGCCACCAACTTCTTTGTTCAATATATTTGTTAATTCTGTCATTTTAGTATTTATTCGAAACTCCTAATATCCTTTTTTGCATTTACACAGATGATATTCAGCAAGAATGATGAAGTAGGACTTGTTGCATTTCCAACGAAAGGTATTTCTGAGTATGTGAATTAGTGTGATGTTAGATGAGGAATTATATTATTTTTTGGCCAAATCTTTGCTCACTCTCTATTGTTGTTGTTGAGTTTTAATTCTCAAGATAGTAATCGTTCCAATTGTTATTTTTAACATTATATGTGTAGTATCATCCAACCAGAATCATAAAAATGTTCATATTTGATTTCATTGGTTTTTTTAGTTGATCAAAATTAAATGTTGAACCTTGTAGTTGTATTTTCATTTCATTTGCTTTTGATATTGAAATCAAGAAAACAGTATTTCCCACATTCTAGAATAATGATTTTCCTTTTACATTAAATGTTGCTTCTTATTCTTATCTTCATCATATACCTAGAGGAATTAGTAACCATTCCTCTTCTGCTCTCACTTTAGATTGATATGATAATTAATTGTTCTAACTTCTATTATCATTTTTCAGCTATGGCATAAAATAAGCCAGAACTTAGTTTCACATGTCTATAGTCTGGAATTAAACTATTTGAACTCACAATTGTGTTGGGATGAGAAGAAAACTAACAAAACCACGGGGATTAAAAACTGTTGGAAGAGAAAATGCTGTTACAGAAAGATTTCTTTTCGTGAGCATATATGTAATATAATTTGATTAGTGGAGAAGGCAATGAAAATTAATTAAATTGAACATATATTAATTATACTTTACTTTCCAAAAATACCTGTATTCTCGAACTATTTTGGCTAATAATTTATTCTTTGTACCTTAGCTAAAATTTGAAATTATTTCCTTTCTGTTTAGTTAGATGCCTTTATAAATTCTCTCTTTCTTTCACTATTAATCTTTCTTCTCACCCTATTGACAATTTAAGCGACTTCTATAAATTTAGCCAAGACCCTTTCGTATGCATTGAAATTGCTTTCACTTTTGAGGTAGTCATACAAAATGAAAATGCTATCCTTGCTCTGTACCACTGTTACCATTTCTTGCACTACTTGTTGAAGCTTTCCTAACAGGTTCTGTAAAACTCTTCTATATGAAAATGAAGCAGAAAGTGAGGAACTTCATGATATATTGACAGAGGAAGAGAAATAGCAGCTTCACATTGCACTAAAGTTTGTCATAACTATTTTGTATAAAAAATTATCAAAGAAATAATAATTCTCTCTGTTTGGGAGCACCTGTGAATAAGATATCTTCAAAGTGGTCAAATATTTAATGGATGCAATCCAGCAATATCCTTTGTACAGTTTTGTTTGTAGATCAATTTCTCATCTTCCCTGCGTCACTATGATATTGAAGCATGCATGCGTTTTATAATTGCCGGTAAGAAAGTTTTGATAATCATATTACCCTTCATCTCATGTTCATCATTTAATCTCTTGGTTTATATTTGATTTGAAACTTGACTGACCAATATATTCATCTTGAACTACCTTGTATTTTCACTTTTTTTCAAGGAAGGAGATGCAGCCCTTGGTAATGGTGGCTCAGCTCGACTTTCAGCTTGCCAGATGGATTCTTTAGCAACATTGGGATTTTTTGGCATGCAGGTATACTATATTCTGTGCTTTACTATTTAGATCCTTTGATGTTTTAGAAATAGTGAACCATGTAGGCATGTCTCATCTTAGCTCGAGAAATGAAGTAAACCCATGTCATAAAAATCGAACTTTTCTTCTTTTTTTTGTTGGGGGAGCTTGTTGGAGATTTGTTTATTATAATTTAGAAAATTTTGGAGGTACTTATTAGCTATTTCAAAGAATATTTTATGCGTTAAGTGGTTACATGTTGGATTTCGAGTGTACCAGTTTTGCTAAATTTGTAGACACCCGACCACAAACCTCAGTTTATTCACTTTAAAAATATGAGATTTATTGGTTTATTTACCATGACCAGTAAACCTAAGAAGAGAATGATTTCTTTCTAGGTGAAACAATACTATTAATTCGATATATAGCTCCTGATGGTTGTTAGTTTTTTAAGTTATTAAAAAGAAAAAATCCCTTTCCTCTTTATCGATATCTACATTACACCTAAAAAAATAAGTTTTATCCAACTTTCTTGCTAATTATATTTCATACATATGTGCAGGTCTTTGTTGTCTCTTGGGAAAAAGAGTATGCATGTTCCTTCTTTGTAGACAATAATTCGTATTATATCAGAATTTATCTACTCTGAAGTTTTTATATTATTCTATATATTATATATTTTCTACATGAGAACCAGTAAGGTTAAATTGGTACTGTGGTTACACATTTTTTAGCTGCAAAATTTTTAGCATTTTACTTGCAACATTATCTTTGTCAGTACATCCCCTCACCTTTACCAGCTCCTGTCAGATTTGAAGGACATAAAGTAAGTCTGTCTTTCACCTTACCTCTGCCCCATTCTTACCTACCATCATCACAAATCTCATTATAGATATCACTTCTGCTTGTTTGTTTCAGTGTTCTTATTTTTATAATAATAAAGACTATGTTGTACTTATACAACCAAAATAAAAAAAAATCACAAAAATGATAGCCTACACTGCTCGCACCATACCATTGTTCATTTTTATCTGAAATCTTGAAACAGTATAATGCACTACTTCATTATTTTATTAGTAATA